TGGGTCATGTCAATCAGATCATTCAACTAATGATGTGATCCCGTTAATCAAATAACAACTCTTTGTCCATGGTTAGGAAACATAACCATCTTTGATTAACGAGCTAGTCAAGTAGAGGCATACTAGTGACACTCTGTTTGTCTATGTATTCACACATGTATTATGTTTCCGGTTAATACAATTCTAGCATGAATAATAAACTTTTATCATGATATAAGGAAATAAATAATAACTTTATTATTGCCTCTAGGGCATATTTCCTTCAGCGCCCACCACGACACTACCGCCAGTGCCCCTGGCGGTAAGGTACTTATGCACGTCAGCATGCGATGACGGCCGCCGTCCCCTCCATCACACCCTATCGCCAAGGACGCTGGCGGTAGGCTGTCTAACCCTACCTCCAGACGCACTGGCGGTAGCAAAAGGGTCAAATCCCGAAAAAATTTCAAACCGGGGTCAGATTTTGATTTTGTTTGGCAAGAAGGTCAAAACACGAAATTTAGCCTTCCGTGAGCTGTGAGCGCCGATGCACATTGAGATTTTTGCCATCAGCACGATGGTGCTGCTATAAGCTAGTACAATGTGTGCGCAGAACTCTTCGATAAAAATATGTCAAATTCGTGCGAGAATTGAAAATGAGATAGTACGACGACCAGAGATAATAAGTCCAACTTCACTGCACGACCCCAAACGGACGTCCGGATTGGCCGGATTCTGTCCGTTTGGGGCGCTCATGGATTCACCCGTGTCCGGCTTTGTCAGATGGGTCGTGCGTGCGCGCACCGCGCGGCCGCACCCCAAATCGTGTCTGGGGTGGACGTGAATAAAAAAATATAAAAACTGGAATGAAATAACTAAAAAGGTAAATAAACGCATTTAAAAAACATAAAACATATATAGGGGTCGGCCACAAAACGGTCCAGTTTCCACGGCCACTTAAAAGGCCCAGTTTCATAATTAACATATAAAAACAAAATAAAAAAAACTCCTCCCGCGCGCTCCTGGCGCGCCCGTTGGTGCCGTGGCCGTCGCCGTCTTCACTGGCCGCCGTTGTCGTCGTCGTCGCTGACGAGGTCGACGTAGGCCGGCGGCGTCCACAGGTGGGCCGGAGGTGCGTGGTGGACGGGGCGGGCTGGACGGCCGGAGGTGCCTGCACCACCTCCTCCTGTGGCGACGCCTCCCGCTCCGGTGAGCGCGGCGGAGTGGGGCACAAGTTCACGCCCACGCCGGCGGCCATCTCCGGAGCAGTGCAGGACCAGCCCCACCCCTGACCCAGCAGCTGCTGGAACGCGGCCGGCGGGTCCTCCTCCATCGCCTCCTCCGTGACGGCCGCCATCTGCAACTCCGGGAAGGCGACGTCCCCGGCGGCAGAGAGCGCCATGGCCTCCTCCAGGCCGTTCCATTGCCGCTCGTCGTGCGTGTTCATGGAGTCGTCCATGACACGCTGCAGGAGACGGACCTCCTCCTCCGCTGTCATGCGAGGAGGTGGAGGGGGCGACGGAGACGGCGAAGGCGACGGCGTGGGCGTCAGGCCGCGCACCCGCGTACGCCCGCGCGCCTCTGCACGTGGCCTCCGCGGCCCCGACACGGTGCCAACGAAGTAGAACGCGCGCCGTGTGTCGTGCTCGTCCTGGAGCCATGTGTCCCACAGCGGGGAGTCGGGGGCATACCTGTGGTCGTAGTACAGGTCGTCGGGGAGGAGGCGGTGGCGCGCGATCTCATCGCGCCGGGCACGGCCGGTCGGCGGCACTGGCGGGATGGGGACCCGGTCCGCGGAGAGGTGCCATCCGTTGAGGAGGTGGGCGTCGCTCCACGGGACCGGCGTCCTCGTCTCCCAGTACCTCCGGCACACGTCCGCGCAGATGTACTGCCGGTCGCGGTAGCCGGCGGGCCTAGGGGCAATGGTGAAGGGGGCCAGCGCGGGGGCTCGATGGGAGGAGCGCGGCAGTGACGCGGGGGCTCGACGGGAGGAGCGCGGCGGTGACGCGTTCTGCTCCTCCTTCACGGATCCGCGGCGGCGGCCCGAGGAGGAGCCGGCCTCGCGGTCGTGCTTCCCCTTGCGGCCGTAGTTCCAAAGGCCCATGGCTGCGGCCGGCCGACGAGTTCGAGGACGGGGAGTGGCTAGGGTTTCTAGGGTGTCGGCTTTCGAGGGGGCAGAGAGGGGCCGGAATGGGAAGTGAGGACGACGACCGGTCCACAGGTCCCATTTAAGAAGGACGGCGACCTTCCACTGGGCCGATGACATGTGGGGCCGGCCGCCCGTGCGCATTGATGTTGACGGGTGGAAGGTAGGTGGCCGCTCCGCCACGCGGCCAGACGCGGACGAGCGGCGCGTCCGTTCGGTGTCCGCGGCGACCCAAATCCGGCGCAAGTTTGCGCTCGAAATGGGTCGGCCCGGACACAAAACGGATCAGATGGGTCCGGACCGTTGCGCGCTGAGCCGTCTCGTTTGTCCGTTTTACGCCAAGCGAACGGGGCGGACAGGATAGAGTGGCGCGGTGGAGTTGGCCTAATGAACATCATCGTGCAATGACAACGGTACCGAGACCAGTTTGACGATGGCCGCACCGTCACGCCTTGTAGCATGGGCACAGACAGTGCGTTGTCCAAACAAGAAAAAAAAATGCACACAGCAGCAGCATGTACAGTAGCTCCAACCTTTCCTTCAAGAGCTAGCTACAAAGCGTGCTGTTGATGACACCCCCCATCAGCAGCAGCAGCAGGGTCGTGCGAGAGAGCGGAGACAGACGGACGGACGGATGGATGGCCTGGCGTAGTGGCGTCCGCTGCGCGGGCACAGTGGCGAACCGTACACGCCTCCGTCGTCAGACGTGAGATGCCCGGACGCATGCCGGCATGGGCGACAGAGGGAGAGCTCGCCCGCTGCTCAGGCCTGCCCGGTCAGCCCGGCTCATCCCGTGTCAGCAGCGCGTGGGGCGTGCGCTGCCGCTCCCCTCGTCATTCGCGCCGGCCGGCGTCAGAGGTCCGGGAGTCACGCGCGCAGACGCAGCGGCGTGGCGGTCCGGTCCGGTCTAGCGGTAGCTTGTTTGACTGGCGGGTCAATAGGCCTCGCTCTGACCGGCGCTCCGGTTCGCTTGGCCGCTGGGTCGCCGGTCCCGTCGCACCGTTTGTCCCCCCCACGGCCCGTCCCGTCGCTCCGCCGATTGAATGCCGACGCGACGTGGCCGTGGAAAAAAGGGGCGAGGTTCAGCCGCGGGGAAAGGGGCTCCATTGCTCCAAGGTCCAAGCTGAGGCGTCACACGCACGGAGGGTACCTCGTGCCCTCGGCCGGTCCCGGTGCCGGCGCGATCGAGGTGGGGTCCCGACACCGAGGCATCTGCGGGTTTACTGTACTGCGGTCAACGGAACTGCGGGGGCCTGGTGCAGCGGACTGTAGCTGATCCTATCCTCGTCCTGTAGGATTGCGGCCCCCGTTGCTCCCACGTCCGGAAATACGTTAGTAGTACATGTCTGTGCGGCGACGCTAGTATTTCGACGTTTTATTTATGTCTCGGCGTACGTACCACAGAACCATGATGTTTTCTCCTTGACAGGGAAAGCTCAGTGAAAACACTTCATGCACCGCTCAACTGATGACTTCAAAGGTTAGGGCATCTCCAATGCTATCCTCAGAAACAAACACGCTATCCTAGAAAACGAACACGCTGTATGTCTGTGGATTAGTGTCTGAACGCCGTCTGCGGACATTATATTGTAGCAGGTGATCCAACCTTATTCCGTAATTATCCATCTATATTAACTTTTCAAAAATAAACTATAATTTAGTACTTCCTAATGTAGATGTTTTTTAACACTAGACGCTAGTGTTAAAAAGGTCTTACATTATAAGATAAAGGTAGTAGCTTTTTGTTTGACGGAAGGCCATTAATCAGGGCACATTTGTAGCTTCCGCCAAATCTAGTCGTCAAATGGCTTTCGCCAGATGAAAAGCCAAACGAAGCATTTGAACAAAAATGAGAAAAAAGTGAAACAAAGCTATTAGTCACTTTCGTTGTTCATCAAACATGCTATCCGTCAAATGCCAAACATGCTAATCACCTCCCGCCAAATCCAAATAGCAGCGCAACAACAGTCTTTCACCATCTGAGAAAGGTATGTGATGCCTTTTGATTGACCAGACTCCCGCAAAGCTTCCAAAAGTTTGCTTCCGGTTTGCGGGAGTTTGGACATGCGGACTGGTAAGCAAACAAGTAGGGGTCCTCTAGGATTGAATAAGTGTCTAGAGTAGGGTAAATAGACAACTAGCACAAACCAATGATCAATTTTAACATTTTTTACATTTGAGCAGATTTTGGCACAAGCTAGATAGCAACAAGTACACACTATAAATGCATTTTTAGAGTATTGGGAGCGGAAAGTAAAGATCATGCATGTGCAATTTGGGACGTAGAGTTTTTGCACCCGAGCTCATATGATCCCTTATGAATAGTAAAATCAAAAATAGTAAAAAAAGAAAGAAAAGAAAATTCTTAAAAAAATTATAAACATTGATGAAAGTTTTCATTGCATGGAAAAATGTGACGAAATGACATTCATGAAAATGTGGGGAAAAAAATTAAAATTGATGCTTCAAAAAGACTATTGTTGGAAGCATTTTGGAGCATTGATTCTTTTGCCCGCATTTCCACAATGTCATTTTATCACAAATTTTTGCACGCAGTGGAAACTTTCATCAATGTTTATCACTAAAATAAAATTTGATTTTTGATTTTTTTATACTATGTGGTTTTGATTTTACTGTTCATGAGTGAGCATATGAGCTTGGGATCAAAAGAACACTTTAAGTAGAGTTTAGGACAATCGCAAACAATGGTTGATACGGAGGATTTTTGACCCGTGGTTCTGACGCTATTGTACGTTAATGTTGATGGAGGCTTCAGTCACAAGGATTACGACTTCAGATTCCACGGAGGAATCGAGTCCACGAAGGGCTCACACCCATGAATGGTACATGAAGAAGTAACATTGCCTATCCCACCATGGCTCACACGTACGAAGAGTCCACGAAGAAGCAACATTCTATCCCATCATGGCTTACACCCACGAAGGGGTAGCCTCAATCGGGTATATCTTTACGAAGTAGACGATCTCCTTGCACTAACAAACTTCTTGGTTTTCTTCACACGATTTGAAGACTCCCAAGCACACCTTATCCAATCAAAGAGGCACCACCCTTCAAAAGGTAATAGATGGTGTTTGTTGATAATAAACCTCCTACTCTTGTGCTTCAAAAGATAATCTCCTCAACACTTAAACACTATCTCATAGATTTTAGCTTTCTTGTAGAAGAGGATTTGGATGGAAAATAATGATATGCCTAGAAATAAAGGATCAATGGTTGGAGAGGAATCCCTTTGAAACCAACATAAGGAGTGAGAACTCTCTCTCTCTCTCTGAAATATGGATGTGTAATGTGTATGCTTTGAGAGACAATGATGAAGCGGGTGGGGGTATATATAGGCATCACAGAAAATGTGATTGTCGCTCACCTTTTAGCACATTTCAGTCAGACCGACTAAAACACTCGGTTGGACCGAACAATACAAAAGATTCAAAGTTCAGACATTTCTGTGACTCCTGATGAAATTGTTCGGTGGCTCCCAGTTGTAATGACCTAAGCACTTTCCACACTTTGGTGACTGAGACAGTTCGTACATTCCAAACGAATTTTAATAGGCAACAGAAGGTTGACAAGAGCTCTTCAGTGAGGTTGAAGGGTTTAGGACATCGGCTATAACAACGTGACTCGGTGACTCCGGTGTATATGGGTTTGGTGAGTCTGAGTTGAACTTTTGGTTTGTGATATAGTGGAAATTTGGGAATTTGTCTGAGGCTTTTGGAGTTTGAGCACTTGAGCAATGAACTCAACATCTCAACATCATACCCTTTTGATAGTATTAACATATCTATGGACTCAATGTGATCTTTGATCACTAAAATAGAAATGCAGTCTTGAGGCTTAATCCAACACTTGTCTTTAGCATATTGAGATGATGGGTTCATTTGATCATATGTAGTTTGCGTGTATGGATTTGATGCAGATATGTTCATGTGATCGCCTGACAAGGTACAATGGTAATGCAGATTCGGTGTAATGATTTTTTTCGTTTTTCCAAGCATGATTATGTGTAATGATTTGTTTTTTTTTCAAAATCCATTATAGATCCTTAGAAATTTTGATCTTTGCAAAAGTTGTACCAAGGAGTGATGTCTTGTAAGTGTATATTATTAATTGCTCGACTGAATACCACACATGACTACTACTTGCTCTAAATCCAATACATCATTTTCTATTATCAGCAGCCGTTGTCTCACGATATAGTTCTTCAACCCGACGAACCGTAGTTCGTAGGAATCCGGGGGTTTCTTCCGTTAAACACACGGGGTAGAAATTTCTGTCAAGAGCCCCCCCGCACAAACAAAAAAAGAAACTTCCTTCAAGAGAATTCAGGAACGACGTCGCCACAATTGATTAGTTTTATGTATCTTTTATTATTCAGCAGCATTTGTATCAAACATATTTAATATTGACGTATTCCATGTTAGTGCTAATAAAAGGGATCCCCTAAATACAAATGAACATCTTGGCAGCTGGGTACTAAGCTCGGAGATGTTCTGCTATCTTTTCAGTTTTGTCATATCGGTTTTTACGTGACTTATACTTTATTCTTCATGATATGAATGAGACACGTATGACCATAAAAAGAAAAAGAACATCCTGGCAGCTGTTAGTTTTTTTATATGAATGCAGTTTTTTTTTCTGTTGGTAAAATTCGGAAACTGCATTCTGGTCCGTTCTGCGGGCCTTTATAACGGACTGCTTGGGCCATGCTACTGCCTACTGGCCGCAGAGTTTATGCGTAGGAGACCCGCGTATGGCGCGGCCCGGATACAAAGCTGTCTTCCACTGGAGCAACCGCTAAACCCTTTCGAAAGAATCCCCAAATCTCGCACGCTCCAAAGGCCCGAAACCCTAGCTCTCTGCTTTCATCCCCGCCACCGTCCCCATGGCGCCAGGGCTCAAACGCTTCACCGACGTCGCGGCAGACGGCACGCCCCGCCTCGACGACGCCGCCGGCGAGGAGCTCGTGTGCGTGGAGCGCGCCGCCTCGGTCGCCCTCGGCAGCCGCGCGCCGGAGCCCCCGGGAACCCTCTTCATCACCACCAGGTAGAGAGCGAGCCGATGGATTTCGGCGCCCTCCTGCCGCACCGGCACCGCGGCCATCTCTTCCGACGCCTTACTTTTCTTGCCCGTTTGCGTTTCTGTTCCCAGGAGGGTGATTTGGCTCAGCGGGGCGGAGAAGGGCAAAGGATACGCGGTGGGCTTCCTGGACATCACGCTCCACGCAGTGTCGCGCGACCCGGAGGCGTACCCCTCGCCGTGCCTCTACACTCAGGTGATTGAGGGTACAACCGCCCTGTTTGAATTTTGTGGTTTTGGTGACTAATTTGGGAAAAACAGTTGATCAGTTGCATTTCATGTTTTAACATTTGTGGCTTGTTTGAAGTTGGGGTGTGCTTCGACCGACCTGGATCAGTCTTCTGGCCCTGATGTTCTGTTGGTATTTTTTGCCGCAGTTTGTTTTGGTGGCTGTATTGTTAGTTCCCTCAGCAGTCAGCACACAACACGCATGTCAGGGGCCTCATTTGAGCATAGAAAGCTTTGTTTGCCGTTTCGTTTATATTAGTGCGTTGTAGCTTGGAGGAATAAGGAGATTTAGGTCGTGGGCAATTTAATGTGGCACATAAGTCATTTAGTGTAAGATTTGTGTCACATGCTGACATGCATTATATTTATTTTGATATTTGATAATTATAGTGACATGTATGTAACATAAAGCATTGTTTGGCACCATTATGCCTTTGGAATGTCACTTGGTTCAGTGGGATGTTAAGCATGAGAAAATTGATTGGGCTGAATCGTGTGGTTGACCAAATTAGTTACTTAAAACGCAGCTCAGCTCATATAGTTCTGTGGTTGGAGTGGACTAAATTCAACATCACACGGTTCTTGACTCGGATTTACTCTCTGTAATATGCACATGGACCACCGAATGCAGGCTTTGTGTCTCTTCTCTTGATAGCTAACAGTGATCAGTGCTATCTCACATTGACTTCGCTATTTGCAGCCTTTGTGTCTCTTTTCTTGATAGTTAGCAGTGACCTGTGTTATCTCTCATTGACTTTGCCATTTGCAGCCTATTTGTTAGTCCGCTGCTAGTGTCTTAGGACTTGTATCAGCCCTAGTGTTTGGATGATTGAAGTTTTAAAAAGAAAACTAGTTCTGTCTGTATGCAAAATAAATCTAGTGTTGGTAAAAACGTAAGTTTGTTACTACATTTATACTGATTTTTGGTTGGTTCTGATTTCGATCTTTGTGGTCACTGTTCAGTAGCTAGCTAGCAATAATCTCCTTTTTTAGCGCTATTAGCTCTAATGCGTAACACCCCTCTTTATATTTATAGATTGAAGCCGAAGCTGACTCTGATGAAGAGGATGGTGATTTTGACTCTGAAGCAGGTGGTGACTCACAGCTACCAAAAATCTCTGAGATGCGTATTATATTGGCAGATGCTGCCCAACGTATCCTTCTAAAATTTTCATATATTTTTGCACATTATGGCTGATGCTTTTATCTTGCAATGCCATTTTCTCTGATTTCACTGTTAACATAAAAACCAGTGGACTGATTTAGGCTGCCCTCTTTTTTTTTTTGCAGTAAATTTCCATTTTTCCATTGTTTACTGTAACAGTGACGCTTTGACTTTCTGTTTTTCCAGTGACTTATCCAGTTAAGCAATTAGTTGTAGAGCAGACATACGGAATTCAAATCTTTCTGTTTTTATCACTGAAGTTTGTCAGTTATGTTTTAAGTTCATTTGCATTGATGGGGAACACTGCATTCTGATTGTGTTTCCATCATTTCCTATTTTCGGGAAATCAAGTCATGGATGGAACATAGTAGTAATATGGATAAAACTATGTAGTGAACTAGTCATATAGATAAATCTCTTATATTTTTTAAAGCAGTTTGCGAGCTAATCAGTTCCTGGGTGCATTATGCAGTGCAAATTAAGAGCCCTGTTTTGCAATGGAGTGGTTTATGACAATCTCATCGGTTTTGGATTTGTTATTTTTTCCTGAATTAAGCTGCAAACTGTTATATATATGTTCTGGATAACATAAAATGCAGTGCGAATATGAGAGGAATGAGCATTGGATAACAGAGGCCCAGTTCTTTTGGCCGATTCTCCCAAAATCTGGATAATCGACCCTCCACCCAGCTTCTCTCAGAATCTTGAACTCATATTTTTTTGATAATCCTAGCTGTTTACATCCTAACTAGCTAGGATTGTGAAAAATATATGGGTTCAAGATTCTGGGAGAAGTTGGGTGGAGGGTCGGTTCTCAAGATTCTGGGGGAAACTGCCAAAAGAACCGGGCCAGAATTAGTTTCCACGGCAGCTTTTAAAATAAGCATCACCCGACATACACTAGCAAGCCCAACTAACCCTAAATCTTGGATGTTTCTTTGGATAACATCATTCAGTTGAAATCATTCGAGCAGACATACACCATTCTTGTAACTCAGTGCCACAGTGACCCGGGAGAATAACTTGTAGGCTCGACACTTTATTTAACTCCCTGTACATTTTTGCTATGAATTATAAAAGCAGCGTTCACCTTCTCGTAAAAATTCATGCTTGATATCCTTGACAGAAGTTCAGTAGATTCACTTTTTAATGCCTTCTGCCATTGTGCTGAACTGAACCCTGATCCTACTGCTGGTAAGTAATTTGAGTTGCAGTTAATACTTGAAAACTGATGTTCAGAAGAACTGTACTAAAATGTGTGTGTTCTTTCAAACTCCAGAAGAAAATGAAGACAGTGACTTGTTCCATGGTGGGGATATGACCAATGGTGGTTGGATTCATGGCGATGAAGATGAACACATGGTTGATGGTAAGTTTTCACAGTACATTTTATTTACATTTTCAGCTATTGTCTGAGCAGAGCTCTGACTTCTTACCTTTCATGCAGGAATCGACCCTGAGTTTTTTATTCCCAACCCGATAGGTCAAAATGGTGGAGATGACCTCAGTTCTTCAGTACTTGAGGTATGCTTTGACGGGATTGATGCTGTTATATTTGTAATGATCAATATCTGAGATGCGTAACCCGTGTTGACCATGGTCCGCATTACAGTGGTATATCTGAGTTTAACTCGCCGTGAAGACAATTAGTAGCATGATTTTATAGAGCTCATGTTTCATGGTTTTGAGCACGTGTGTTTAATTAGAATCGCTAGATATTAGTGTAAAAAAGAAAAATCACTTTGTATTATGAAACTATAGTTAGTCGTTGATACCGGCATATTATATTGTATGATCCACTGCAACTTCTAAAATTATTACTCCCTCCGATCCATACTACTTGTCGCTCAAACGGATGTATCTAGACGTATTTCAGTGCTAGATACGTCTGTTTGAGCAACAAGTAATTTGGATCGGAGGGAGTGGCTAAAAACTTGTGCCTTGGTATGGAAGTTAAAATGCTTGCATTGCTATAGATTATTTTGTTGCATGAGTTATTTGTGGTTCAATCTAGTCCTTAACTTTGTGCAAATAAAAATATATGAATACACATTGATTTAATCAAGTAATCAAAAGATTGTGCTAAGACTATATGATATTTGTGGTGATTGATTTCCTGGCAACTTGATAGGCAATCTGGGTGAACATACCGCAACCTACTCAGAGCTTTATAAGAGTGAAGACGAGTTTAGATCTACTTTGTGCCAGTGACCGACTAATGTTGTTATTTATAACTGCAGCTTCAAATCAATGACCAGCGTTTCGAGGATGCGGATGAAGAGGAGGCCCATGAAAATGGGCATTAGAAGCAGATATATGCTCGTTTTACTTATCATGATCCTCGTGAGGACCATGTCATTAGTTTGGTTGAAGATTGCTGTAGATGCAGCTTGGTTCGCCTCATGCTGTTGTGTCCCACACTTTCCTTTTGTCCTTTAATAGACGCTGCTATAGGATCGAGGACTCTGAGGGCAACCGTGTAGAGTTGCGTCGATGGTAACTTTTATGGGAGAAGGTCTTGCTTACTGGTCAAGAATGTAACATGTAGAGCTTGGTGGAGAATCCGATTGATGGATTTCAATAACTTTTGATCTAACAAATGGAAGGGGGAGATGGGGGAAAGTAGTAGTAACTCTTTTCGAAGGCGTTCTTCTGCCCTAATATCTGTCATGGTGGAAATGTTGTTTGTTGCTGCAGTTCGAACAGCTGAACCATGCTGACGAGTTGTCACGTATAACTCCAGTTGGCCATGAATTGTTTTTCAGCTGACGAATTGCTGCAGGACAGTTCAAGGGGAAAAAGCTTTGCTTGGAACACTGCAGTTTTTGGTTGGGGAGTTGAACAACCGTGCCAGAAAACATCAGCCGCGCCCAGGCAAGGAGCCAGACATCGAGAGCCAGGTAGGTTTTCCCTCTCGTTAGGGTTTAGGTTTTCTCCGAGGCGTTCCGCCGCCGACTGGAGGTTGGCTGTCCCTGCTGTCGCCAATTAACCTCCTCGGCTCGCCCTCGCTGCCCTTGTTGGGGGACGGGTCTGGCTTGCGAGAGAGGGGTGCTCCTAGGGTTCCCTTGTTCCCGACCCGATCTGACCCATCGGGTGAGATTTCGACATGGCGTCCGAAGAAAACCCTAGGGCTACCGGGGTCAGTGACGTAGAGAAGATGATGCAAGAGCTGGGGCTCAAGGAAGAGGATCTGGACGACGTAGTTTTCGACGAGGCTGACATCCCTGAAGACGCAGCTCGCTGGGTTGCTATCGCGAAGGTGAACTCTGTGAAAACCTACAGCCAGACTTGGTTTTTTCGCAATATGAGATCTGCCTGGGACCTTGCCCAGGAGGTCAAATTCAGGCCTTTGGAAGATAATCTGTACACTATCCAATTTTCTTGCCTGGGTGATTGGGAGAGGGTGATGCAAGAAGGGCCTTGGCACTTCAGGGGAGATGCTATCATTATCAAACCATATGATGGGGTGACGAAACCGACTACTATCAAGTTGGATACAATTGATATCTGGATCCAGATCCATGACGTCCCCGACTTGTTTGCTCACCTCATTGAACCGCTTGCTGCCAGGGTTGGAGAAGTTTTGTTTGCTGAACCTCCTTCACAGGATTTTGCTGGAAATTTCCATCGTGTTTGGGTTAGAATCGATGTGACGAAGCCTCTGAAGAATGCTGTGTCAATGGTGAGGGGAGGGAAGCGCCAGATCTATCGGGTGAAATATGAGAAGCTGCCCGACTGGTGCACAGTTTGTGGGATGCTGGGTCATCTCTTCAAAGAACATGGGACAGGCTTGCATCCACCCTCGGCCTTGATGTTCAAAGACCTGAGGGCGGGCTGGTACATGAGAACTGGCAGAGGGCCTGGTGGTGGCCGAGGCCGTCACGGTGGCCGAAGAGGTGGACGCATGGGGGGACGAGGGCAGCACCCAGGCAATAACAACTTCGACGGGGATGCTGGGGAGAACCAGGCACATGATGAAGATCAGCTAGAACCGGCTCAAGATACAGACATGGAGGAGGCCTCCTGTAAAAGGGCCAGTGGAACAGGGCAAGCCAGCAACGCTCCAGCTACCAATCATGGGTCTGACTTGGGACCTGATCAGCTCGCCTTAGTGCCTGCGGGGAGCAGCTCAGTGATCAGCCCACCCCCGAAAAGAGATCCCAAATGAACAAGATTGGTGACCACTGGTCAGGAAGGTTTCAATATTTCTGTTAAGAAGTTGGCGGACTCCCTAGAGGAGGACCGCCGGGCCCAATGAGTGCCTTTTGTTGGAACTGTCGTGGAGTGGGTAAACCTGCGACAGTTCGAGAGATTCGCGAGTTCGCGATGAAGTTTACCCCTACCGTGCTATGCATTGTTGAAACACAGTTAAGTGGTGCACGTGTAGAAGCTTTAGCTGGAACTTTGGGTTTTGACAATTCGTATGCAATAAACAGTCAAGGGAGGAGTGGAGGACTTGGTATGTTTTGGAATAACAATTGTGAAGTTGAAATTTTGGGAGATTATGTGTACCACATTGATGCTAGGGTCACAGAAACGGGTCAGGATCCCTGGCGCATCACTTGTGTGTATGGGGAGGCCCGGACACACTTAAGGCACCAGACCTGGGATATCCTTAAGGGAATTAGTACTATGAGCAATTTGCCATGGCTTTGCTTTGGCGATTTCAACGAAGTGCTACTTCCAGAAGAGCACGATGGAGTCGCGGACAGAAGTAACGCGCAAATACAAGCTTTTCGGGATGCTATTGACGTGTGCATGCTCATGGATCTTGGCTATCAGGGACGGCCCTGGACTTTTGAGAAAAAGGTTACAGGAGGGAACCATTGTAGAGTTCGCCTTGACAGGGCTTTGGCTTCGGCTAGCTGGACAGCTCGGTTTCCACTAGTTACGTTATATCACCTAGACGGATCCACATCAGATCAGGGCCCGATTCTGCTGAGGTTCGATGGAACTCAACATGATACAATGAAGAGAAAGATGTTCAGATATGAAACCATGTGGGAGTCGCACGAGGCATGGACGGAGAAGATAACTGACAGCTGGAGTACTCTTGCACCGGGCTATGGTGTGGGCGATTTTCGGGATAAGCTTCTCAGGATTAGTACGGACCTGGCAACGTGGGACAGAGATACGTTTGGAAGTGTTCGGAAGGAAATGAAGGAGATCAAGGCAAAGCTGGAGCAACTGCGAGGCGATCCAATTCGTACTGGCCCGACACATGCTGAACTGAAACTTAACGAGAGGCTAGTGGAACTTCTCCACAGGGAGGAACTCATGTGGCGTCAGAGATCTCGGCTAGAGTGGCTTTCAGCGGGGGATAAAAATACCAGATTTTTTCATATGCGGGCTAGCTTGAGGTGCAAGAAGAATATGATTCGAGCATTATCAAACTCCCTTGGCGTGGTGACAGATGATCCGGCCGAACTTCGGAACATGGTCCAAGATTTCTATACGACATTGTATACGTCTGAGGGAGTGAGCGGAATGGAGGAAGTGCTTCAGCATGTACCCCGCAAGGTTACGCAGGAGATGAACAACACATTAGAGGCGCCCTACTCGAATGCTGAGGTGAAGATATCACTTTTTCAAATGTTCCCGACCAAAGCCCCGGGTCCCGACGGCTTTCCGGCCCACTTTTACCAAAGACATTGGGACCTATGCGGTGATGAAGTGACAGCGGTGGTTTTGCGGATCATTAAAGGGGAGGAGAGCCCTGAGGGAGTCAATGACACAGTGTTAGTTTTGATACCAAAGGTTGCTAGTCCGACCCTTTTATCTCAGTTCAGGCCAATAAGCCTTTGCAATGTCTTATATAAAATCGCCTCGAAGGTCATTGCCAACAAATTGAAGAAGATCTTGCCTGATATTATTTCCGAAGAACAGTCTGCTTTTGTGCCTGGGAGACTTATCACAGATAATATTATTTGTGCTTATGAATGCTTGCACTTCATGAAGAGGAACAAATCTAAGACAAATAGTCTATGTGCCTTGAAGCTAGACATGATGAAAGCGTATGATAGGGTTGAGTGGGCTTACCTACATGCGATCATGCTGAAATTGGGCTTCTCCTCAACATGGACTGATATTGTAATGGGAATGGTAAAATCAGTGTCTTTCTCGGTTTTGTTCAACGGAGAAAAGTTGGAGCAATTTAAACCATCCAGAGGTATAAGGCAGGGAGATCCCATTTCCTCTTACCTATTCTTATTGGCAGCAGAGGGCCTTTCGTGCCTCTTAAAAAATAGTTCTTAGTCATCGGTGCTTGGTGGCGTGAGGGTGGCACCCACAGCTCCTGTGGTGAATCACCTTCTGTTTGCGGATGACAGCCTGTTGCTATTTAAGTCTAGTGTGGAGGGAGCGAATGCGGTATCAAACCTACTTCGTACTTATTGCGACGCATCCGGCCAAAGAATCAACACTAACAAGTCCTCAATATTCTTTAGCAAAGGGTGCCCCGAGGTTTTGAAGAACCAAGTAAAAAACATCCTTCATGTTTAGAATGAGTCCCTTAGCGAAAAATATCTGGGGATGCCTACAGAGGTTGGTCAGTCAAAGAATGGCACATTCCGTTATCTGAGGGATAGAGTGTGGGAAAAAGTGAAGGGGTGGATGCAGAAACTATTGTCAGCAGCAGGTAAAGAGGTGTTGATAAAATCAGTTGCACAGGCCATACCAGTTTTCTCTATGTCTTGCTTCCGCCTCCCGAGGGGTCTATGTGATAGTGTAACGTCAATTATTCGGCAATTTTGGTGGGGCTCAAAAAATGGGAGGAGGAAACCTGCATGGGTATCTTGGGACGTCATGACAAACCCCAAAAACTTGGGTGGTCTTGGTTTTAAGGATATGGAAGTTTTTAACCTGGCTCTACTATCTAGACAGGCTTGGCGGTGCCTGACAGAGCCGCTCTCCTTGAGTGCACGCATTCTAAAGGCGGCTTATCACCCCAACTCATCCATCTTTGAGGCAGAGTTGGGCTCACACCCATCACAGATATGGAGAGCAATTGTTGATGGAAGGGACATAATGAAAATGGGTGCGATTATGCGGATAGGAGATGGGCGCTCGACCAATATTTGGCCGCACAATTGGATTCCAAGGGCAGGTATGATGAGGCCGATTTCTTCCTTGATCCATAACCCTCTAGAAGTAGTTTCAGACTTAATTGATGCATCATCCGCTTCTTGGAGGGAAGGTTTGACCAGGCAAGTTTTTGCTCCAATGGATGCCGAGGCTATCCTGAGGATTCCCATTTGCACCCGTCAAGTTGATGATTTTTGGGCGTGGTCCGAGGACCCGAGAGGCC